TAGAAGCCAAAAAAAGTAAAATTAACCCTTTTACGACATCCTTACTCAATTCACCATATCCGTTTCTTCTTTGCATAAAATAACATATATATAACAAAGTAAATTAAATTTGATTCAAGTCTACAATACAATGTCAGAAAGAATTTTGATTAAAATCAAGGGCTTGAAAATCACTTGTATCTAACTATAACACCACTCAACACTAGTGCGTGAGGTCTGTAAAAATTCCCTACTGTTGTGAGTAGGACAGTATAGTCAGACGATTTTTAAACGAGACCGCACGTTTACCACACATTGAAATATCTTACTTCGATTTGACAAAAACTTGCATACCGACCCAGGAATAACAATGTTTGCACCTTTCGATATACTCGACTTTGGAAATTTGACTCCCACCTTGGAAATATCAACTGAACGCCTCAACTAGGCCTACTCGTTGTAGGGAGGAAGGGAGTTTCATTGTATTTTTTTGTAAGATATTTTAGTGCTTATACTGCACGGTTTGCAAGTTATCACAAAGAGGATATTCTGAAAGAATACATTAAAGTGTGTGTGTTGGGCGTGAAAACACCATCTAATATGGCTACCAGCATCGTCAAAACGAATCTGTACCTGCAGCTCTGTTTGATAGTCATGTACATACCTCGTGATACAATCTTCCTGTCCACAATCCGTACAGAATTGTTAACTTCCTGTATATCAAGTTCTAGCTGTTTCAATGACGATTCTACCTTCAACGATTCCATGTCGACTCCAACTGACAAATTTGCAAGATCAGACGAAACAAAATCCACGCGGTTTGATAAATAGGTGATATTTTGCTCGTTCTGTTGTATATCGAGTTCGATTTGTTTGATTGACGATTCTACCTTCAACGACTCCATGTCCACTTTAGCTGACAAAGAAACGATGTCTGTAAATAAGAAGAACAGGCAATATTGGAAAGATGAAAACATTTCACAAAATAATGTGAGTTTTGCATACATGAAGTGAGTTTCACATAAGTTGTTGCATAAAGGTTCATTTCTTGTCGAAGTTAACAGTAGTTTTTTGTTGTAGATCTTATATGCTTATATTAAGAAACGCTGATCTCACCTGATTTCGTTTCTTCAAGCTCTTTAATGGCCTAAAATACAAAACAAGAACGTTACTTTTTATACAGGTTGTGAATTTTGTATGTTTATCATATGCATGGTTACCTTTGCCGCCAGGGTGAGGGAGCATATCACAGCTAAGAACAATAAGGCGAACACCACAAGAATCGCCAGCATTCTTTTTGATAATCTTGGTTTAGCTTCAACTGCCTCTTCACACTGTGGCTTGGTTTGAACTGTGACCACGTCTTTGTAGTTCGATGACTCTATGCAAAACATAGTACTATAAGAGTGCAAGTGATCGTCATTACAAATAAAGAAGAGCAATGTCTACATATATACCGTGTTTCCCCGAAAATAAGACCTACCCTCAAAATAAGACCTAGATCGAATTATAAAAATGACTTTAATATAAGCCCTCCCCATGACCTAGTCAATAAGGCGAATTTCTTTTGACCTAGTCGATAGCAAGAAATCCCTCGTACACGTTATAAATGATTGATAACATATGCTTTGCAGTTATTTTGAATAAAAACGTGTTATTTATAAGTAAATGGATATCCGTTTTCATATTTCGTATGCTTGGAAATCTCGTAATTCGCTACTTTGTAATTTTGTTTTTGATAAATGAAAATATAAAACATCCCACGAAAATAAGCCCTAGTGTTATTATTCGGAAAAAAATTAAAATAAGACCCAGTCTTACTTTCGGAGAAGCACGGTATATGAACACAAATAACACGCTCATCGGTACGATACGATGTGGTCTTAAATGTCTAGCTGAGCGAGCTCTAAGTTTACTGAAAAGATCGGCGGACAAGTGTGATGAATGCAGGCAGGTGAGGCGACATACAGTGAAGCTATTTTATATCATAAAAAGTGTTCTTATACTTATATGAATCAAACTGAAGCAGCTGCAATTCTGGTAAAATATCTGGTGCCATAGGCCTCAGAGAGAATTTAGAAAAAGTAGAAGCAATAGCTTTCTGGCGACTTCGGTCAATTAGTCGCGGAGAAAAACGATTTTCTCAACAAAAACAACGAAAAAAAATTTTGCAACAACAACAGTTAAGCAAAACGATCAAATTGAAGTCTTTCTCCCTTGAAAAGATGCTTCCATAATGAAACCATTCGCAATTTATACGAATTCAAAATCCTAGTTGGAAAATTTTCATTTATCTATTGCCTTTAATGCACTTTGAATTTTAAAAATAACTCATAACCTACCTACATCTTTATTGTCATAATTTTCTCCTGGCTCTGGCAAAGGTCTATTTTGTATTGCAAACGTGGTACCAGCATTCTCGTAAGTGACGTATGCATTGGGTCTCGACTTGGCCATCGTTGGTTTCAAAATATCAATAATTGAGCTAGTTAGTTTCAACGAGTGTAACTAATCAAGAATTCTAATTTCTATACAAATGTAAAACAGTCTCACTTCGAAGCATGTCACATAGATTAAATAATACTTCAGTACTACTTGCAAGTTGCAAGCGTCAACAACTGTTTGTTATTTCAGAGATAACATTGACATATTTTCGCTGTCGATTAGTTTAAACTGCGAACGTGATCATAGTCTCAAAATAAAACCTTGGTTAAATATTAATTCCACCAATCCAAGTAGAAAGATACTAATACTTTCAGCATTCCCTTTTTTGATCATTCTTATCCTCTCTCCAAAAGTTTATTAGATAAATAGAATAGCATGCAGCTACACAGACAGACAGAACGACTGATGAAAAGGGTCTCCTGGAACGGAGATCTAATAAAACAGCCGGTAAGTATACTATTACGCAGCCATCGACAAATAATAATACAAATTTTTATTGGTATGTACTTTAATTTGAATTATCAATACCACCAATCTTTTCGTGACATATGTTTTGTTGCAGTGGTTCCCTTTCGAAAGTGAATGATCTAAAATATTTTGGTGTATACCAGAACTAAATATAGTGTTATGACTCCTGCTTCTTCGATGTTTCTAATGTTGGCGTTTTATTCTGAGCTTGTATTCCATTATGGTCGAAATTCACATTTTGTTGAAAGATCTGGTCTAGAAGAATGGACCCTGTGCAGTGCATCGGAGTGGAAGGTATCGTATGATAATGTACGTACGAAATCACGACATCATTTTCATTGAAGTTCAGGTAAGCGCTGGCCGCACCCGACGCCATATGATTAGACCGTCTAATCGGGTTTCCTTTCTCAGGGATGAATTTATTATCAGCTGTGCTAAGAGTTATGAATACGCTTGCTACCTCATCTCTGATTACCGTGAGTGGATTCGTAGGCCCAACTCTTTTGGGAGATAATCCCCTGTCAGTGGTTTCCAACCGCCGGTCCGCGTACCGATGTCGGTCCGCGAGAAATTTCATTTTGTTGTTTTTCTACCGTCTCAATCGCTTTACCGAAGTTGAAAAGACGAAGTTACGTTGGTTCATAACGCAATTTCTCTTCCATCCTCATATTACTACTGTATTTGATAACTGTGGTAATAATTGCCCGGCGACATTTTAGCACCGAGTAATCACACTTTTCGCCTTTTTGGTTTTGATTCATCGCGAAAGCTCTTCGTCAAATCTCGCAAGATCCAGAAACCTGAAAATCAGCATGCGTGCTTTTTCCGTCATATTGCTGTTTGATAAGTGCGGTATTAATGGCCCGGCGACATTTTAGCACCGAGTAATCAAACTTTTCGCTTTTTTGGTTCCGATTCATCGCGAGAGCGCTTCGTCAAATCTCGCAAGATTCAGAAACCTGAAAATCAGCATGCGTCCTTTTTCCGTTCTGCATGTTTTTCTTGATTAATATTACCATTCAAATAAAAGGTTATAAATATTTCTCTGTTTAAACCAGAAAACACTCAAGAACAGTAGCCTATAATATTCCAGAGCTTCACCTTGACACCCAGCGAGATATGAACTTGTTGCGACCCTGCAGGTGATCACGAGACGCGCAACAAAAGCGTGGGCCGGTGAGATCTTTTCTGGGTTATGCACAACAGGATTTTGAGCCTGGTGCCAAGTTAGCAACGACTTTGTAATCATTGTGATCACAACGATCATTGTGATATAAATTCATTTTGTTTGGTGCGTCGATCAATTGCAGAGGGTTTGATATGATGAAACCTGTACTTTACAGTCTAGATTTATAAAATATTCATTGTCATAATTCATTCTTGAGCTCGCAAACTGTTGTCTTAATTTTCAACCAGTTACTGCTAGCTTTAATTAAAACGAAACAAATGAATCGGCTGTGACCGCTGCAGAGCTACGTGTTGCAAAACCCTTTTTTTGGTGACTCGATTGCAATCCTCTTTTCTAAAAGCATAGTGATCGACCGACATTACGCAAATATATGTTATTATTTTATGTTTCACTCATTCCAATTTTTGCCGGTCCGCGAGTACATTTTATCAATTTTACCGGTCCGCCATGGTGGAAAGATTGGGAACCACTGCATCATAAATATGTAAATACTATCCCACACCAGATGACGCCATACAGCGGAATGGTTCACATCTACGTAGTTGCTGGGTACGCGAACTCCCGCAGGCTGTGCACGAAATGTGGAATCTTTCATTTATTTGAGTTTTGCGTACTGTACAGCCGTATCGGTACCGGTACCGGTAGTAGACATAACGACACGGTACAGATATCGACACAGCAGTACTGCGTTAACACCACGGTAGCTATAGTCATTATACGGGTACCGGTACTGTACGTGCCGGTACTGATACACCAGTACACGGTGCCGTAATCGTAATGTCACCGTACCGGTACCGGTACTGTCAGACTGTTCTGGAGATATGGTAACGGTACTGCAGTACTAAAATATACGGTACCGGTACCGTAGTCTAGTTGTTATTTATTTTTTATGAGCAGAGACATAAACCAGTAAACAACTTGAACTGGAATAATCAATAATTCTGTTATTACTGCAGTACTATTATAAAGTTGTTTTATGCCATTACAAAACCGAAAAATATTTAACACACCTTAACAAACCCTTCTCCTTAATATTCCATCATGGAGATGGTAAAACCAAAAAAGAAGAAAACAAAAAAGGTGGTACCAAGTCAAGAAAATGGTAAGTAATATTTCTATTTTCGTTTCAATTGTTGCCAAAAGCAGAAAAGTGTATATCTACCTCAATCACTTATCTCAGTGCTTGAAAACTACGATAAATATTTCCAAAGTTTCTTATTATGCTGAAGCTTTCACTTCCTTAATACAGTAATAAGAATATTTTTAGCTAGTTTGCAGTTTTTCATTTTGAATTTTGTTACTTTTTCTATTTCAAATCTGATTGAAATAAGCTTTAGTAAATGTTGTTGTTTAATTATTTAAAATATTAATATTCAACCATTTTATTTAGTTCCACTACATGATATACTAAATACTGACTCCGGGGCCGAAGAACCATCAAAGTCCAAACAAAAGGTGCGCAACAAAAAATTCATTCCAAAATTTAAGACATAGTACATGGCTGTTTTTCACTGGAACCTTTATTCAATTTCAGTCATTGTTTCAATTTAACAGTTCCTGAACTACTTCACTAATAAAAAAACAATGCATTTCAACAACTAAAGTTTTCTATAGTTTTCAAGATTTAAGTGAAGGCTTTTTTAATATGCTCAAAATAATAGTTTTTGTAAAGAATATATTTTATATTGTTCCTAGCATCAATATTTAAAATGTTAAATATGGTTAAGTTTGAATTTATACCAATATTTGATTTGTTTTTGACATACTTGATTGAGGGCTTTTGTGTTAAAGATGTTATCGTTTAATTAAAGTTCCATGTCTCTTTCAGCCACATGGTACAGACAGTCCGAAGCAAAAAAAGAAAAAGAAAAATGAAGTTTCTCCAGATATCCAGTCAGCTTCTGTTACTACAGTTGAAGAACTCATAGAAAGACCGACATCAGCTGGGAAGCAAGGTTGGGTCATTTTATAATATAACTCAAAGCAAGGCTAAGAATTCTTACTATTTTGGTTTAAAGAGAATCGAAATGAATGACATTATCAAGTGCTATTTTTGAAGGTTTAGATGGATGATATAACGATGATATGGATTTTTTTGTTATTTTCATACGGTCTGTATCAGCTATTAGGTTTCATTTGAGGATATTTGAAATATGAATATTAAAATTGTAGAAAAGTCTGTTTATATTGGCATCTATATTTTTCTGTCCCTTTTCTATTATGCTGCTTTTGACTTTTAGTTGGTCTGAAACCTTGACAACTAGTATTAAAAATGTGCTGCATCATTTGGGATTGAAATAATTTGATTGAAAGTGTATCGTAGATTCATTTGTAAATTTGTACTCAAAAGAAATGAAAGACTACAATTTTGAATACCATATTCCTGTTGGTCCGATATGCCTCTTAAAATCATGCTGTTTGTGTTATTGTAACTTGTGTTTATAGTAATCCATAATATCATTATAATACAGTACAATTCTTGTATCATTTGACTGTAATTTTGCTGACATTGCGGTAGCCATATAAGTTAATTTACATTGTGTCCATATATTTGAGTATTACTCTCTCGGGTGCTCCAGAAGTATGCGAACCAAGATGGCGGACATCGGAACGTAACATGGGTAACAGGTTAGGGTTAGGCGATAATTTTTTTCCAATTTTCCTTATTTTAGTCCTTTTATCAGTTCGAAGTCTAGCCAAGAGCCTCCCGTAGTATTTGTACCTAAATGGCCTAACCCTAACCTAGTACACATATTACATTCCGATGTCCGCCATCTTGGTTCGCATACTTCGGGAGCCCCCTCTCTCGTTCTCGTTGTAATCATTCTAATGCTTTTGTTTTAGATGCTTGGCAAGGCCAAGGAGATTCTACAGCAATGGAGGCAGGTCCTTCGCAGATGCCTCAGAAAAAAAAGAATAAAAGCAAGAAAAAGTCATCTGGGGTTGAAAATCCTGCATTATCATTGGCTGATGAGGCGGAACTACCAGGAAGTGTACCTGACCTTCAGGTAGGAGTATGTATTTCGTACAATTATGTTGATATCAAGTTTAAGTTTCAAGTATTCTTAATTAAACTATTTTACTGTGTGAAAAATATATATATGTTTCTCAATTGACGTTTGAGAATCTACAAAAAAAATTTTATTAAAAAAACTTTGGATAATTTCTTTTGTAAAAATTTCAGATATTCCAATAAATTTTGCATTCCAATATTCTTGTGTTCGTTATATTTTTAAATAATTTGAAGACTGTGAAAAAAGCCTAATCCTAATACATATCACAAACTCCTAGGACACAACAATTGATTCAATGCCAGCAGCTTTCTCACCCCCTGTAGCAAGCAGTACTATACTCGATGATGATGACAATGAGGATGAAAACAAAGTTCCTTCCACTGATACAACCAATGAGAATGATGCTGGGAATTCAAGGTCACGACCCACAACCCCAAGGTAGGTATTTAGCTTTTAGTTTATATGTTTTTATGTAAAGATTACATTTCTGTGTACGTATTTGGGTACTTCCGAGGGTTAGGCCATAATAATTTTATTCCGATTTTCCTTATTTCAGTTCTCTTACAAGTTCGAGAACTGTCTGTGTTAGCCAAGTGAATATATATATCCCCTGCCAATAGGTTTCAGTCCCTTTACACAACTTGAGGTAAAGTAGGCGGACAAAATAAGTTACCTCCATATTGATACACACACTTCTGGAGCGCCAAAATTTGAAGTTATATAAATATTTCTCCATCCTTCATATAAATAAAAATATTCCTGAATTTCACCAGATCCAAAAATGGATCTACACCTGGTACACCGGCATCAAAATTCCATCGAACATTATTTGGAAGACCGAAGAGTGCAACAAAGGTGGCTCCAGCAGATGGAAAAGAAAACGCCAGTCGTCCATCAACAGCCCCGGGGTATAGGGTTCCTTTCCAAACGGATTTTTCACCGAGTCCTGCACAGAAAAGACCTGCAACAGCTGCTGCTCACGGAGCAAGGTTGTCAAAATCTGGACGCATGGATATGCCAGGTTGGTGATAAATTTGTTTGGTAAAAAAAACTTTAGCTCTGTACAAGGCTATGTAAAGCAATAACTTATGTGTAGAGTCACTGGATTTGGAAATTTGGAATTATTATATTTCTGGTTTGCTTGCTATTTATCCTTTGTTCAGTTTTTTCACACTCTGGAGTGGGTAACAATGCAATGACCAAGATTTGAACCCATAACCAGTTGTGTTACTCTTGGACCACGGTTACTAATTTATAGTATTAGTTGTAAATTTTGAAATGAAACAGTTTGTAAATCTGGAATAACTTTATAATTTTGTCACATTTTTACAAAGGTTGGAAACATTTTTGGTTTTCTCATATACTCTATTGATATTTGACCAATGGTCGCTGATGCAAAAAGTAATCTCTCACATTAATTTGTGTAGGTTATTCCTGTTTCCTATCTTTTCTATATAATAATTTATATTTCATTATGATCATTTTTTTTACTTTAATTTTTTATTTTTTAAACTGGTGTAGAAAAATATGATATAGATAAAATTTTGAGTCCTAGCCTCTTGCTATTTCAATATCATTTACTTTATTAAACCAGGTTCACAAAGATCATTGAGAGAGAAGTCTTTCAACACCAGCACACGTTCTTTAAAGGAAGGTCCTGAAATTGAGTCGCCGAAACAAGCAGTAGCTTACGTACCGTACATGCACGCACGGAACGCACTTACTCGTGTTATTGACGACATGAAATCAATGAAAATGAACCATTTATCAATCGTGGCACAGATTGAAGAACAATATCATGGAATTGAAAATGACTCAAGGGTAAGTCGGAATTAAATACTATCTCAGAGATTTGAGTTTGGAGTCGCAGTTGTTTTTCAAACTTCATTGCGTCACGGAAGCCGTCGTCAGAATTTTCAATACTTCTTTCTTGTTTGGCTTTGTCTACCTAATTTACCACACCCTTGGTAAGATGAAGTGTGTGGAATCCAAAGCTCTTGCCTCCAACCACTAAACCAACATTTCCTAATCGGAGAGAAATACCTCAACTGTTGAGGTATTAATTTTGTTCGCCTACTTTACATCAAGTTGTGTAAAGGGACTGAAACCTATGGGTAGGGGGTATATTTACTTGGCTAACACAGACAGTCCCCGAACTCGTAATAGAACTGAGATGAGGAAAATCGGAATAAAGTTATGGCTTAACCCTAAGCTGGTACGACATTAATGTATATAAAACGATTTGAAGGATAAGAACATATGTCAATTCTCAATCGACTCCTCTTTTTACAGGAACAATTCAATACATTTGTAATATCACTGCAAGATGAACACAAGAATAAACTCAATACTTTCAGACAAACTATTGAAACTCACAACGTGGAAATTAAAGATCGGAATAAATATTGGGCTGAGACATTACAGGTTAGACTACATGCTTTATTAAAGAATTTTTACAAATATTGGTATAGTTATAATAATATTGTTGTTCATATATTGTCCCATCTTAAAATCATTTTTCTATCTAGAGTCTTAGTAAGCGAAACAAAGAACTACTTCGTCAGAAACGAGCATTGTTACTCGCGTATCAAACTGATACTCAAAAATTAGAAGCTCAACTTCAAGCACAAAAGTTAGGTCAGGTTGAAGAGCTGGATTCAAAATCAAGGATTTGTAAGTTTTCAAATTGTTTAAAATCATTTTAAAATTTAAAAATAGCCCGTTTTGTTTCGTGATTAACTGTAACTTGTAACCCATACATGTATCGCTAGGTCCATAATTGCTGTCTATCTGATTATTTTTTTGGATATTTGAATGTATGTCATAACAAACACGTTTTCTGTCTATTTTTACTTTCATTAGTAAGTCTATGCAACTGTTAACGTAATCTCCTTTTATTAAAATTTGAAATTGTTAATGTGTTTTTCAGTACTAGTAATTTAAAGTTTTTGTAAAGTTTACCATTATTGGCTGAAATCATAAAATGCTTTAAATTTTTTCGAATAATTTATGATTAATCTGAAATACATTGCACTTTTTCAAAATGCAAAATGATGCATATTTGGATATTACAGATTTTGTATTCATGGCGAATTTAGTAAGAATTTTTTTCATTTTTGAGATAAAAAGTCAAATTGATTGCTCAAATTCTTTTTATAAATATCATTAGTACAGAAATTTCTCTGTAATACAAAAAACAAAAATTTATTTTAAATGGCTCCCATATTTGCTCTTCTTGTTTGGTATCTACGACACTGGGTTGGAAAACCTGGCCAAATATTATTATGTTACCTTGGATTTATTACTTTACCGTCATCAAAGACTCTTTATGGTTTCTTATGGTGTCATAATGCAAACAAAAGGGCTTTTGTGTTGTTAAGTTTCATAAGAGGAAAATAATTTTGACTTTTGTATGGTCATGCAAGATCTATGTTTATATAGTGTATGAAATTGTATGCTTTTTCTATGGGCCAATCTCGGCCATGTTAGACCGAGACCAAGATTTTTTTTCTAGAAATCTGAAGTTAATGGTTACCTTATGCTATAAATTGTCTGGGATTAATATGATAGATGAAATTATGCTTGTAATATATATGGCTATGATATTAGTTTTCTTATGCCAAGTATGATATGATTTAAAATCATATTATTTGCTGATTTATGTAATTTTGTGCTGAATGTGGTTGGAAGAATCCTGTTTTATTATAAGTGAAAGTTGTCATATGGTCTTGATGACATCCGTATTGTGTGGGGTTGGGGAATAAAATTATCACAATTCCTTAAAGGCCTTAGCCAGAGATGTCCAAATTGGATCGAAAAATCATCGTAATAATATATGATATATAAATAATAAGAATAATTTAAAATAATATACTATAAAAATTAACATCTGAATGTTGATCATAAAATTTAGTACTGTAACTGATACTGATACTGCAAAAAAAAGAAATTCATTTGTAAAATATGTTTATTTAAATTATACTGCATTGCCAAATTCAAATTATATCAGTTTACAATGATATTTCCGAATTTGACATTCCCTTCACAAAAATCTTTACACATGAAATTCAAACTTTTTCTTCTTTTTACAGTTGAAAGTCACATTGAAGATGAGAACAAGGTCAGTATAATACTAATATTGCTCCTGCTAATGTTCCCCTTGGATTACTATTATTTAATTCTGGTAACATTCTGAGTATAACTACATAAAAAACTAATATAATTGCTCAAATATATGGACATACCATAGAGCAGGGCTACTCAACTATTTTCACCAAAGGTCCGTTTACGAAACTTCAAAATTACTGGGGTCCGGCCATTATAGAAAATTTATTTCATCAAATAAAGGAAACTTCAAATGCAATATTAAATTAAATACAAGAACAATGAATGGCTCGCAAATATGGACACAAATATTGCACATCTGTACCAGTACGACAAACTGTATAGCTGTGTATTTAAATTGTATCAAAATCATCTAAAACTATAAAACGATGCCTATGCTGCCAAAATAAACAAGCAGACGCGGTCCAAATTTCATGGTTGAAAGGTCCGGATTCGGACCGCGGTCGGCCAGTTGAGTAGCCCTGCCATAGAGACATCAAGACATAGAGACATTAGGACATATTGCACAGGACAAAAATTCTATTTGACAGTATTTCTTATTGACCTTTCACCTTTTCCAGATTGAAATTGATTCAAAAGAATCCGAGAAAAAAGTCCATGCAGTTCCTGTTGGGGCTGCAGTGGCCACTGGAACGATCGTTTACCGAAGAAATTTAGAAGATTTAGTTGAAAGTCACACACAGACTGATGGAGGTAAATTTTAAATTAATGTTTTGTCCCAATTAAATGATAAATGGATCACAGCGTGAGCATGAAGCGTTCCACCCATTGGCAAAATTCTGAAGTAAGATCTACCCCTTACCTGTACCAATTTCAGAGTGTCGTAAGAAAGATATGGAAAAATAAGCTATGCTAAACAGTCTCTTTACAGAGTATAATAAACATTAATTGTCCCAACGGACTACATTACAATCTTCTGTGTGGTCAATGATCATGTTCAATGGCTATGTTTACACCCCGGATTTAGACTTCTCGAATTAAATTATCTTGAAGTTTTTTTCTTTCTCGTCTAGTTTTTCTCCAATATTTGCTATAAAGTTGCCTTTTTTGTTCAGACTATGTTGTTGGTGCATTCACTGTTGTGGATGAGAATGAGAGCAAATGGAAGGTAAATCAAACAATTTATTTTTCATTTCAGCTCTGCATTTTTCATGCTACAGTAGTAGTCATTGTCAATTCACTGACTGTGGACATGGTATTTGAAATATTAAATTGTATTTGGGTGGCCTATAATAGCGGATTTTTAGTTCATTGTTTTCTCACTTTCTTACTGAATAGGAACGATATGAAAAAGAGAAAGAAGATAATCGAGAACAAAGTGAGAAAATGGAAAGGGAAATACAAGAAATTCGAGCACTGCTTGCTTCTAGGGGGTCATCTACTCAGGAGGAGAGGAAGGTCTATGAAGATAAAATAAAAGTATTGTCAAAGGTGGGTAATTTTTTTTGCTGTTCAATCTAATAACTGGACCATTTTTGGCTTATTTTTACAAAAAAATATCGAATATTTGTTTTTCTTCGTCAGTCTTATTTTTTGTTTCTGGATTCAAAATTTTAGATTAGATGTGTTTTCTATTGGCCTATAGTCGAGATTCAACTTCAGATTCTGTTTTGATAAAAATTATTACAGATCTGACTCCATTCAACCAAAAAAGCCTGCGAGTATGCAAGCCTTAGTTAATGTTAATGTTGTCGGTTTTGATCTCATGAATGCTTTATAGTTTTGGTCAAATATTGTGACTTTGATAACCGCCATTATAAGTCTAAAGCAGGGGTGTGCAACCTTTAACACAAGAGGACCAGATACAAGTAACTGGGTGAAATCGCTGGCCGCACTGTTATTTTACATAGACTTTCTAGTAGTTGCAGGCACAAAAATCTGGTTATTTATCTTATGACATGCATTGTTCATTTCGCACAAGCTAGCTGTTTGGGCATTATGATGTCATAGGCATAAATTGGGCTTCAGGTATTGGCTTGGCAATGCAAAGAGATTAGGATTGCTCGCACATGCCAGATTAAACTAAAGTAAAAACTCGTTTTGCGGGCACAACAACATTCAAAATTGGCACTTCTCCACGGGCTGCACAATTTTTTCTTGCGGGCCGGGCCCTAGGTGGCACACCCCTGGTCTGAAGTATCATTTTATATCTTTCCATTACCAGGATTTAGCAAAAGCAAAAATCGAATATGAAACAACATACAAGTTTCTACAATCTATCATGGCCGCTATTGACAGTGAAGAACAATTCGCAAAAGCAATGAAAAAAGTTGAAGATGACAGGTGAGGGTATATTGCACGTTGTATTCCAATTTAGCAGTATATTTTCTAAATTTTTCTTTGAACTTGTGAAAGGGTTTTTGGGTTTGAACCTGCTCGAGCCAGTGGCGGCCCCCCAAGGATTCGTCATGACAGACCAAGAAATTTAATGCACACATGACAACTAACTACTAATCTGATGGGGTTCCCGAAGTATGCGAACCAAGATGGCGGACATCGGAATGTAATATGTGACTAGGTTAGGGTTAGGCCATAATTTTAGGTATAAATACTTCGGGAGGCTCTTGGCTAGTCTTCGAACTGATAATAGGACTAAAATAAGGAAGATTGGAAAAAAATTATCGCCTAACCTGTTACCCATGTTACGTTCCGATGTTCGCCATCTTGGTTCGCATACTTCGGGAGCACCAATCTGATTTTAAATAATTTCAACTTCGGTTTTAAATTCAAGAAAATCAAATCTTGTCAATGATATCGAGTCTTGTTTAGAATGAAGCCACCTTTGAAAAATATTAATTACCTTCTTCAATTTTTAGAGCAATAATGCGTGAAGAACAAGAAAGAATTGAAAAGGAAATAAAAGATTGGGAGGAAAAATGGAAGAAGAATCATGGAGGAAAATTACCAGATGAAAATGAAAAGTAGGAATTATGAATTTTTATAAACTGAATATTCAGTTTTGAGTAGAAGTCGTTAACCCATGACACGGATCATCCGTGTCTCAAATCTGATTAGTTACGAGTGATTACGAGTGCTGGGCATTTCATTTGATCTGGGTTGTGCAGCATTTTTTGTCGGTCAGCCTTATAACCAACTTGGGCCACACATTAGCAACAGCCTGAGCGCCACGGGAATGGCAAGCGAAGAGGATGCGGCTATCGTTTAGCCTTACAGTAACAACGGCACCGGGCAAAACGACGAAAGATTTAACGCAGTGGGAAGAGCAAAAAAACATTACGTATTTTTACCCAATATGTTTAAAAAACATAAACCGTCGGTCTAGTATTTTATGCTTGATGAGGAAAAATCTGAGTTGCCAAAAACCATACTAAATATCTTTGTGGCCTGCAAGCCGCCTGTTGTACACCCCTGATATTGATGATAATCAAGTCACGCCATATTGCGAAAATGTGGCAATTTAGAGTTGGACTCAAAGTTTCTGTCCAACTAGAGATCTGAAGTTGTCATTTTTTATTGACTAGCAGTTTGAAATTGGCTGTGAATTTTTTTTTACTCTGCAACTTGGCTAATAGCAAACCAAAATGAAAATCAAATGCAGCTATCGTCTATATATTATCTTATCTTATCTCTTAGTGATAAGAGGAAAAAAACTTTCAATTTAAACATAATTTGTAACTCCAAAATTTTTCTACAAATAGACCTGATGCAGCTAAAGAGCTCGACACTCAACTGGCCGAAGTAAATCAAGTTCTATCAGACTTGGACAAGCAAGAACAGGCTCTTATCATGCTGAGGAAAGGACAAATTCCTGAAGCAAGTCCAGACGTCCCTGAACCTATGGTGACCACGGTACGTATACAGAATTCGCCTACAGAATTTCCTTAAAAATGTGGACCAGGTTTCAGAGCTGTGTTAGTAGCCCAGCAGTTAGCGATTACGACAATAAATTTTGTTTAAAGCCATCATCTTAAAATTATACCAAATGTTTTAATTTTTTCATAGATCGAAGTTCGTGACCCAAAGTTGGTTGCTGAGCTTGAAACCAATAAATCTCAGGTCAAATTTCTGGAAGAAAAATTGGAAAAAGCTAATGATGATCTGGAAAAAATGTCTGGTATGTTCTTTACTCTCATCAAAATATGTACCGAGTAGAATTTCTTGAAATACATTGGATTTTTAATGTGGTGTTGAACATTTAGCTGTGACCGAGGCTCCAGAAGAGCTACCACCTATACATAAGGAGTTGTTATGTTTTTGGAAGGTACTAAATTACTGAGAAATGCTTCAGAATTATTCCTCTCCTGATTTTACTACAGTATTTGAGAAAGCAATCTTCTGAGGGTTCATATATGCTCTGTTAGAAAGAATATGGTAATTCATGTCAGTTAAATTTTAAGATGCGTGGTTTGCCTTTGGCTATCCAATTTATCACATCCTAATTATTGAACTTTATTCTAGATCTTGAAAGCGATAACATCGATCTCAAAGACAAAATCGAACGCTACGAAAAAGAAATGGAAGCCATGAGGAAAATTCCTATTGCCTCTACCGTCGCTCTTGGAGCCGCAGTTGCTGCATCATCGGACGATCAAGAACTCCAGAATGAATTGGAAGAAGCAAGAACGGAAATTGAAGAACTCAGAAACCAACTCAACATCGCCAGATTAGAAGGGGGTGGTGATTTCTCCGGAGATATGATTGGTGGAGCTAATGAGGATGTAGAGGTATTGGAATTTTAATTTATGAAATTATTCACTCAGAATAAGGTACTCCCGTAGTGTGTGTACCAGGTTAGGGTTAAGCCATGATTTTATTCCAATTTTCCTCATCTTAGTTCTATTACGAGTTCGGGGACTGTTTGTGTTAGCCAAGTGAATATATCTCCTGCCCAAAGGTTTCAGTCTCTTCACACAACTTGATGTAAAGTAGGCGAACAAAATTAGTTACCTCCATACTGGTACACACACTTCTGGGTCACCCGGATTAAGGCCATGTATAAGCAGCCATTGATATATAAGGAGCTACCGTTTCTGAAAAGAACAGAATCTTTTTCGACTTTGTGTTGCCGAATTTATCACACTGTGGTTGAGGTGGAGAGAAAGTGTGTGTAGGGGTATTGTTATTTTTTTTCAGGTTTTTTTTTATTGTAAGTAAATTTGACATAAATCTTGTTTTTGAAACATTGATGTCCGATTTCCCTTCAGAAAAAGGTAATTTTTCAATCTCTATATTCTTTAAAAAATGACTAATTTAAAGTTTTTATTTGTAGGAACTAATGAAGAAAATAGAAGAACATCAATCCCAAATCGATGAATTGGAAAAGAGTTTAAGAAATGAGAGAGAAACCGTTGAAGATCTGAGAGCTGAAACCGGTCGAATCCAGTCAGAACTGGATGAAGCCAGATCAAACTTGCAAGATAATGAAGATGGTGTTAATGCAAAAGTATTGGCTGCCACTGCTGTCTTAACTGCTTCTGTTAAAGATAAAGAAAATGAAATAAAGGAACTGAATGTGAGTATATTGCTTATATATATTTATATATGTTATACACATCGTAACAGCATAGCCTTAACCCAGGGGTGTGCAACATTTTTTGTCGGTGCCCGGTGGGCTACATACCCAACCCTAGGTATCTAGCTGGGCCACACAATAATGTGGAATGTGGCTGTCGCTTGAATTCACCAGACAAAACAGTGATTTAACGAGAGATTTAACGCGACGAAGAGCGAAAAAAAGATTATGTATTTATACCTATTTGAGCGGATTATGATTTTATGCTTGATGGGGAAAATCTGAGTGTTGACAAGGGCCACACTAAATGTTGTGGCCCATGGGCCGCCTGTTGCACACTCCCGCGTTACACTTAACCGTGTTAGCAAAGAAGATTACACATCTCGGATATCAATCTCATGCCCCCTATCTCACCCAGGGTGTAATAAATTGGGTAGGCGATGCTGAACAGGAAAAGTTTTTGTTTCTACCCACCGCCACCCCCAATAATAAGTTACATATCGTTAGATGCCAAGTCCTATCTTAGAGCAAAAGCCGTGCCGTATACAAATATGTGAGGTCCAAGTATTTAAGCTTCTGGATAGACATCCACTAGAGTGCACTCTGCCACTGTATTGGTAAGATCTTAATTTCCAGTTTAACACGATGTTTCAAATTAGCCTGCTGTTTTACACTTTACCTAAATTGACTGACAGTGCAATACTATGGATATCAAACTCTAGATTTTTTCATTTCCAAGTGTATATTATTACATTTCTAATTTTCTTATCTACCATTTTCTTTTAGGATAAAGTCGAAGAACTTGAGAAAGCTAGAATCCAAAATATGGATATTGACTCCAAAACAGAGATAGAAAGAGCTCAAAAAGAAACAAAAATGGCCAAAACCAATTCAAACAAGTTGAAAAAAGAGAAAGAAGAACTCGGGCTTGAGCTTGCTGCAAATAAACAGAAGGTATGTTGTTCAAGTTAAACCTGGATTTTTCTAGTTTGCATTTCTAGTTTACATAAAAATAAATAGGGGGCTGGTGCTTGAATACCCGCCCGATGTAAAAGCTGATTTTTCAGTGGTAGAGAACAATAGGAAATAAGAAGCGCTTTTGTCACAACGATGTTTAATTTTAAGCGCTGGTAGATAACACTCACGCCTTAGGCATCCAATTACATAACAGATAGCATTGATTACGTAACATCGTGGTTCTCAAACTGGGCGTCGCGACGCCCAAGTGCGTCGTTTCAATATTGATAGGGCGTCCCAAAACTTTTCTTCTTTTGCGAATTTGTACCTGCGATGCGTAGAAAAAGTCTAAATTTTTGTTATTCTCGTTTAAATCATACTTGAAAACTGAAAATTACAATATTTTAATTATTGTAACGATCGATCTTATCTATATATATGTTTTTTTATATATTTTTGTGTATAATTTTACTTAAAAAATAACAAGCGCCGTGCTTGAATAAGGGCCTGGTTAGTGAGTTTAATTAAAAAAATATGGGCTCGGGCTACAAAACGAGCAAATACGGTAAGTTAGTGTCTAAATAGATTTCACCTTGACCCCCAGTGAGCCATGATCCATGTTATTGCTGCATCAGAAATAGGACTTTCTTGTAATTCAAATTATATCTGGATTTATCCGGTTTGAACCTCATACAAATTGGCATATTGTTCATTAGGTTTATATTGCACTTTCATGTTTTGAACTGAAAAGTTTATTTTCCCTCAAGGCAGATACACATACACAGGTCCTTTATCCAAGCCTGTTACAAACTAGAATGCACCATTACCAAAGTAGCACCCTCAGAAAACATCATTCACCAAAACATTCACATAAACGATATAGTCTAGTTTTTGTATCCACTCTACAGCATTAATGTTGCTACATTACCTTTAATATTATATCATAACAAGATATTTACACATAAATTTGAACATTTGGGATCATAAAAAAAAGTTTTACACAGTAGAATCGTATATTTAAAATTTTTCTTTACAATATCTTATGTATTTGGCCTCTCGATTTTGAGGGAAGTTGTACCACCCATTTATCCAAATGAGGTGATTACCACAGTGCGTAACGGTTGTCTCATATTGCTTTGTAATGGTCTGAAATTATCTCAAATTACAATAAATAATAGCATAAACGATGATTATAAATAAGATAATTGATCACTTGTGATGTAAGTTTATGATGATAGGGTCAAATTTCATACTCTGCCCTGGGGTTATTAGCCCGGTAGCTTTCATTTATTGGGTTATTGGTTGATGATTATACTTGATAACGTGTGTCATGTTTGTTATGATTGAGTCCACAATTTTGTTTAAAATATTCTGTTTAAAAGATTTGAAGTCCAGGTCGAATTGTCTTCAGTATTATATTTTTTACGATTATGAGATCATTTATATTTGTCATGTTCAGAAATGTCTATATCAGTATAAAAGAAGTTTTCCTACAACAATGGTTCCCAAAACCGCGGGCTAATTACGACCCGCATTTTGTGTTCTAAATATCGCCAATTGTTACATCATTATCTTAATATGACCAAATTAGCTTTTGACACACCCAAATATCATTGTTGCTTTTGTACAGTTTAAATAGTTCATATTAAGTACATGAAATACATATTACAATAATATTAAATAAGTAAAAAATGTCAGTAATTAAACACACAAATACAAAGTAAAATTACCTCTCCAAAGGCGGTCAAATTTTTTCCTCTTAAGAAATTCTGAGGGCACTCCAGAAGTGTGTGTACCAATATGGAGATAACTAATTTTGTTCGACTATTTTACATCAAGTTGTGTAAAGGGACTGAAACCTATGGGCAGAGGGTATATTCACTTTGCTAACACAGACAATCCCCATACTCGTAATAGAACTAAAATAGGGAAAACCGGAAAAATATTATGGCCTAACCCTAACCTGGCACACACACTACGGGAGTACTAAAATTCTTCCCTGATTGAAAAACTTGGCAGTTGGCCATCAGACTCAATTTATAATTGAAATTTCATTTCAGATGAAATCTTTGGATGAAAAAATTGCTGCTTTCACTGTTCAAGAGACTTCGTATCGAGCAGAGATCGAATCAACTAGAAAAGCAAAACAGAAAGCTGTTAAAGATTGTGAAACGAAATTTGCTGAAAAAGAAAGAAAAAGAAAGCTGAAGATGACGCTAAAAATAAGGTTTTTTCTTCGAAAAATTATTGACCAAAATTCAAAATTATTAACTAATTTAAATTCTCAATCCCAGATGACTGATTCTAACTCCAATTTTGAGATAATCAGTTTGAAATTTCATTTCTAGCATACTATTAAGCCAGGCTGTGGAATTTGAAAAAATTTGATTTTGATTCTATATCTATAGAAACGTGTCAAGCTTCGAACTCAGACCAACTTTACGATGATAATTCGATTTATTCTAATAGTTAATAATAATAATCTAGATATTTATAGACCACACCATCAATGTTATGTAACGTTTTCCTCTTATAGCTTCTTGAAAACAAGATTCGTCGTCTTGAAGCTGCTGCAGCAGCAGGAGTGGCTGCAGGAACAGCTAAGAAAGCTGCAGGTTCACCAACTGTTGATCCAAATATGGAAAGAAAGATGCAGAGAATGGAAGCCCAGGTTGGTTTTCATAGTATTTTATCAGGCTCTCAGAAGTGTGTGTGTGTACTAATATGGAGGCATTAATTTTGTTCGCCTACTTTACATCAAGTTGCGGTCAAGGGACAGAAACCTATGGGCAGGGGGTATATTCCATTGGCTAACACAGACAGTCCCCGAACTCGTAATAGAACTAGAATAAGGAAAATCGGAATAAAATTATGACATAACCCTAACCTGGTACACACACTACGGGAGTACCTCTCATTATGTATCATTAGCAGATATTTGGTAGTGATAAATGAAGTTTGAATTTCCTGGAAATTTAGAAATGTCAAGTCGACTGATTGTTCTGATATTAATGGCATGCATATATTGAAGTTTTTGTTGTGAAATTCTATTTTTGGAGGATTTTTGAGCTGTTGAAGTCGAAATTTTCGGCGATCGAAGTCAAATTTCTTGTAAACTTGAGTCAAAGATTAATTTTTTTTTCATCCTGGAGATAGTTGCAAATTTTTGCCATTTTCATCCCCCCGGTTGAAAAAGGGGAATGGTGAGTGTCTAGGAATGGAATGAACACAAACCATCTTTTCTTCTAGTGATGTTGAACATTGCCTTGCACGTCCAGTCTAGCATCCTCATCCTTGCTTACATCTGGTTCTCCTACCTTCAGTCCCATTCTCTAGGATCGGCAGGATGTGCAGTTTGATGCTATCCTTTTTGCGAAATAGGTGTCCAACAAATCGGCACTTCCTTTCTTTCTTAAACAATAAGATGTTGTTAATACTCCTTGATTTCTTTCGATTCCTGCACTTTGCCCAAGTTATGGACTTTTTATCTTGTTTTTAGCTTACGGAATTCAAGCGTCAGAAAGCCGATGATCAGAACAGAATCAAAGATCTTGATCGTGAATTGAAAGAAGCTAAATCAGCTGCCAAGTCTACAGCTGGTGATAAAGAAAAGAAGGCAGTGGAGAAAAAAGTCAAGGTATCATTAATTGAAAATTTCAAATGAATCATTTCCCAAAATTTTTAATATCTTCAACTTGGTAAAACTTTTGGGTGGCTAAGTGGTGAAAATGTTGGACTTAACAGCGCTCCAGAAGTATGTGTACCAATATGAAAGTTACTAATTTTGTTCGTCTACTTATATTTACTTGGCTTAAACAGACAGTCCCTGAACTCGTAATAGAACTAAAATAAGGAAAATTGGAATAAATTATGGCCTAACTCTAGCCTGGTACACATACTACAGGAGTACCGACTTAACGGTATCAGCATTGCTGATTACACATTCCAAGTTCAAAGCCCCCTACACCCCACCTCACCCAGGGTGTGATAAATTGGGTAAGCAATGCTGAACCAGTAGCTTCATACTTATCGTAATGTATTTGTGCTGCTTTCAAAAAGCCTTGTGCAGAGAGGAAGATCTAAGTAAGAGTCGCATTGGGAAATGCCACCATAGCATACCCTACTCAAATTTTATTACGCTAGAATTCGATCATGTGATTTTTAACAAGTACCAGGGGCAAACAATTTTGCCCACCTAGACAAAAAGTTGCATTTTATGAACAATATTTACAAAGTTACGAAAGCCCTCATTCCAAAACTAAATTTAATCTCAATCTCAACAAATTCCTTGAACACTTTTTCAGCATCAGGCAGGCCAGATTGAATTACCCAGCGGGGGGGTTTAGCTCGCAGGCTGTAGTTTGCCCATGTCAGAGTAATACCAACATAAATATATCTAATAGTAGTATAACATAGTATGTGTACCAGGTTAGGGTTGTTCAAGCTGTGCGTCATCTTGGTACGGATACTTCCGGAGCGTCATTTTTTCTGTTATTATGTTTCATTTTTTATTTCGCTATTCAGGATTTGGAAAAGAAACTTGAAATGGAAACGAAGAAATTTGAGAGAGAATTGAAACGAGCAAATGAGTTGTCAGATGAGCTTGAACAACTGAAGAAAGAATTCAATGATTTGGAAAAGAAACATAAAGCCTTGCTTGAAGAGGTAAAGAGATTATTTTTTGAAAAAAACAATTTTCAGAGAATTTGCTCGGAGCAAGATTCACTCGTACTAACTTAGAAGTATGAGAAACCTTACAAAGGGTATAAGGAACTATTGAAACTTATAAATTTATGTTAAAACATTATGCTAAAAAAAAAAAAAACTGATGTATGTATCAACTATCAGGTCAAATCTTTATGATAAATCATGTACAATTAAAGAATGATCATGTTGGCGCGGCATTCTAAGCACTGGAAATGTGCTTGCACCTCTGATTACCCTGTGTGATTGCACAAGTTCGCCATAAGTGGACTGGTAACCGGACGAGAGGCTGGTTCGTCAAATGACTGAGCTGTTTCATTGGCCTTCCGTTCCCCTAGGATGAATATGTAAATCCTATCCTATCTTAAGAATAAAAACTCACATAAATTTACTGAAGTCATCATGGTAACTTGTGGAAGCTTTTGACTGTGGCCCCCAGGGAACCGCACCATGGCCCGCTAGGGGGCAGAGGGCCCAGTTTTAGAAACCCCAAATTCTTATTTTTTAAATTTCAGTGTGCCCAGTTGTCTTCTGCAGCAGAGGCAGGAGCAGAAGCTGCGGAAAAAGTCATGGCGTTGGAAAATGAAACAAAACAACTGACAGCAGAAGTCAAGACTCTTACTGATAATTATAATAGTGAGAGAGTCTTGAGGAAGAAGTATTACAACATGGTAGAGGATATGAAAGGTACGACATTGCATGTTAAAGATACTGGGTGCACCCTTTGTTGTCTTTCCTAAAGAATAGTAGCTTCACACCCATTAGTGACTTAATGCCCTTTTCTTGTCAATAAAAAAACTAAATTACTAAAAGTAATTAACTAAAAGTTTTGACTCTGAATTAATAATAAATATTCTTTTTTTAATGAAGAGCATATTTTTAATACTACGGCATTGGGGTAGTCTGACAAACCTAAATTTATATTCCGTAATATTAACATTGTTCACATCCACAATTTTAGGTCGTTATGCTCAAAAAATTTATCAATAATCCTACATATCAACATGCTAAATTGGAAAGAATCATAATATGCCTGCAGTATTTTATTCGAATAAAAAAAAAATTTGATGAACTTGTTTTCTCATTCTTTATTAATAATACATGAAACATTTGCTGTGCATTGTGTTAAGCATTAGAGATTTGTTTGCTATTCCGTGATTAACATGATAGGCTCGCAGGTTAGAATCTTTTGAAATATGCTTATTTGTAAAAGAATTGTTGGACTCCTCACTGACGTAATATGCTCAACACTGGATAGTTTTGGTCAATTCCACTGGTAACTCGACAAAATGCTGTGATTGGCAATGTATGATGAATATGATTAATCTTCTTATCTTATTTTATCTCCCAGGCATAGATAAGATAAATCTTATCAGTACATAAATTTATATAATTCAGGCAAAATTCGAGTCTATTGTCGATATCGTCCAATGAGCAAAACTGAGATGGGCAACAATAATAAACCGGTCGTCAGAACACCGGATGAATATACAATACAGGTCGATGCTCGCGGAACGATGAAAGAATTCCAGTTCGATCAAATTTTTACAGATGAATCCACACAGGGCCAGATATTTGAGGATACTTTCAAGTATGTGTGACATATTTATTTAGATGCATTTCATCGTTTTTGTTTGAGTTTTTCTGCGGTATGAATAATAAAATTGAGAAATATTCACAGAAAAATCTCTATTATTACATGGCAGTGGTGTTAAGTACACCATTTGGCATATTTTCAGGTATTCCTGAAGTATATGTACAAAGTTAGGGTTAGGCCATAATTTTATTCCGGTTTTCCTTATTTTAGTTTAATCACGAGTTCGGGACGGTATGTGTTAGCCAAGTGAATATTCCCCCTGCCCATAGGTTTCAGCCCCTTTATACAACTTGATGTAAAATGGAAGAACAAAATTAGTTACCTCCATATTTGGTACACATACTTCTGGAGCGCCTATTTTTCTAGTGCATCACTTTCTAAAAACGGCAGTTAGCTTCAATTTCACCATGTCTATTACCTCCATATTGGTACATACTACATACACTTCTAGAGCGCCCATTTTCGTATCTTCAAACTCGAAACGGAGCGAAATTTTTGTTTTAAAAAAATTGGCCTTCTAAGTTTTCAGAGCGGGAGTCAGGTGTCAAATTTCCTTTACAACCAAGAGTCTGTGCCAGAGTTGTTTTCTGAATGCTTCTTTTCATCATATTTCTATCTTTTCAGCCTGATTCAATCAGCAGTGGATGGTTTCAATGTCTGTATCTTTGCTTACGGACAAACTGGATCTGGTAAGACCTATACAATGATAGGTGACGGTGCTCAAACTCAACCCGGTATCGCTCCAAGAGCTTTCAAGAGAATTTTTGACCTGATTGATGAAAATAAATCAAAAATGAAATTCGAGGTAATACATATTTGAATGTAAATTTAATTGAGACTGAGTGAAAAGCAGTATTGTGTGGAAGCTCCTGAACATTGAGTCATGAGTTAAATTGGGTTGCAGGTCATTTGGGTGAAGTAATCAATGGTCTTAAATTGCGGGTATAGAAGAATTTTGAATTTAAAATTGAAATAAATTTTCAACAATTTCTTAAAAGTTCGAGTTGAATTAATCAGAACCTAAATTTCTGACTTTAATTGATATAACATCAAGCCATCTGTTGAGCATTAGTCGATTTCCACAGAAGGATAGCCAGGGGGCGTTTTGAAGGCCGGAACCCTCCTTTTTGAAATGTAAAAAAGCATTTTTTTGTGCCATACATAACAATTTTTCGTATCTTGAAAGGCTTTTTAGACCCGCAAAACTCATGAAAACTCACGTTTTTCGTTATACGGCCGTACCCGCCAGTTGTTACCCCCCCCCCCCCCTCTTTGAAAATTCATGACTACACCCCAGGTTTTTAAAATAGCTTTGAATTAGTAGTCAAGCTGTTGTGTAAATTCATCCATTTTCCACAGGTTTTCTTTCTGGATATATTTTATATGGAAACTCATTCTATTCTCTTTTCACAGGTATCATGCTACATGCTTGAACTATACAACGACAATTTACTTGACTTACTTGTTGGTAAAGGAAATGATTCTGGAAAGATGGACATTAAAAAGGTTGGTATTGTGTACATCAATGTTCTTCTCATAGAAGCAAATAAAACGATCTTTTATGGTGGCTACTCAACTGGCAAACCTTTAGAGTATTTGATTCGGACCTAATTTTTTATTTTGGTTCATTGGTCCCTCTTTAGACGTTTCCTTTTATAAAATGACTTAAATAGTTTTGAAAGGTTATTTTACTCATATTTGCACATGACTATATATGAAAAGAACTATACCATAATAAACAATCTTGATTAGCTAATCAGCCGATCTGGAAATATCTCACCACAGTAATTGTATGTGGATCTTTGTTAAAAATAGTTGAGTAGCCCTGGCCTAGGGGTTAGAGCTGGGTAAATCAAAAATATATAAAAGTCGCAGGTTACAGATCTTACGTTCAATAGTATAATAAATACCCCAATACCAAGAGTGTAATAATTTGAGAACATGATGCTGGAACGGAGAGAATCTTGGTCTTTTAAAATAATAGTCCCATAAACAGGGTGTCCATTAAGTCCCTTTATAGTTTCAATTTTGTTTTGAAGTCAGTTCTCAATATATCGTAACCAGGTTTGTTGTTTTCTAATCGGTAATTGTTTAGTATTTTTGCTTCATTTGATACATCTGTGAGGACCATAACGATATAGGGTATCGATAAATTCCCTTTGCAATTTTAGAAAATTTTAACACTTTATATACACCCTAAATTTCAGTGCTTTCTTGTATAAGGCCTTTTTCAAAGTGAATGGAGTTTAAAAACGTATAATAAGTGACTCCTGGAATATCAATGGCCAATTGTACAGGGCAGTATGTACAATGAAAATCTGTATTTCTTCTCAGTATGAAAAATTGTATGAAAAAACGGTCGATTAAATTAAAATGACGGGTTTGAGGCAGTGGCGTTTCCAGGATGTGAATGTGCTCCAATACCATATGAACAGTATTCTTTCGCTGAAACTTTCACACAGAAACCTTCCTCCTATATTAAATTGGTCTGAAGATAGAAACCAATACCTAATGCAAAAATATAACGTTACAAATACATATTATAAAAAAAAACATACAGGTGGTGCAAGATAAGAAACTTTTTCACAGAACCCCCTCTTATGGTGATGGGTTTGAGGGTTAAAACCATACCCTATTGCAAAAACATAACGCTACAAATACATTTTATAGAAAAAACACTGTTCAAAGTTTTCGAAATTATTTTTTTTTTTCCAGGATAAGAAAGGTATGGTATACGTTCAAGGAGCTACCGTACAAAAAGCTGCAAATTCTGATGAACTGTACAGCATATTTGAAAAGGGAAGCTCGAGCCGGCATGTTGCTTCTACCAGTGAGTAGCCTTGGTTGTTTATAATTCTTACTGACTTAAGTGACTTGTCTAATAAGTAGGAGTGATGTACTGGATCTACAAAAAAGTTGGATTAGGAAATTTCAAATTTGTGATATCTAAGCATAACAATTTCCCACTTATCAAAGAATCTAGTTTATAGTTATTTTATTTCAAGGACATTTTTCTAAGGTAGTACTTGATTTCTTTCGAATTCATTGATAAAACTACCGTATATATTCGAATACAAAACCGAGTTTAAAACTGAAAAAAAGTTGCCAAACTAAGGGGTAAGCTTTTACGCACGTAACTCTGATCGCACTAAAAAATTTGGCTTATACGCGCATAACTCTGATCACACCAAAGACACTACTTAACTGTTATTATTAAAAGTAAAACATAACAAAATTGGTTATCGTTTTCATTAATTCTCTTCTGCAACCGTTTGCTGTGATATGTACGTACAGCGTGTTGAGATTTGTAAGGTCTGCTTATATGCGAATTTTTATAAATTCACCTTTTATGCAAAATCGCTTATATGCGGAGATATATATATAGTGAATTATTGTACAAAGCATTATTTATAGTGAAATGCACGAAGAACATTCAATTTCAGTTTTATCTAAATCTTAACCCTTTCCACTCTAGAAATGAATGCAGAAAGCTCTCGGTCTCATTTGGTTATAGCAATTATAATGGAAAGTGTTAACCTAACAACTGGAGCCATTACTCGAGGAAAATTAAGTTTGGTGGATTTGGCAGGAAGTGAAAGAGTTGGAAAAACTGGCGCAAGTGCTCAGCAATTAAAGGTAACTTCTTTAAATTTTTATTTTATTTTCAGGTTTTTTTGAACAACATATATGAATACAAGCCGGTAGGCGCCCAGGAACTCCGCTGATACATGAGACGACTCTGCTTCTGGACTTACGGTGAAACGCACTTAACTAGAGCGAATGCATAACCCACGTTAGAAATTTCATCCAGACGTTCATACGCTACAGCTAAACACAGACAGACAGAACGACTGATAATAAAGGTCTCCTTGGAGCAGAGATCCAAGATACAGTATAGCATATAAAGATTTTAACTTGCAATGTCTTACCCACAATGCTAACACAGTTAAGTTTACCACTCGACCCTCGTCCAGTTCCGTTCTATGTCTTCTCACAAAACGTAACATTTTTCCTTCAATTTTAGGAAGCTAATTCTATCAATAAATCTTTATCTGCACTTGGTGACGTCATTTCTGCTTTATCCAGTGAACAATCTTTTATTCCGTACAGAAATAATAAGCTGACAATGCTGATGCAGGTAACTATACACAAAGTATTTTTCTCGTTATAATACTGATTATTAGCTCAGGCAAAGTGTGAAGTTATGTATATTGTTTATTTCAGTAACATTTGACTAATTACTATTTTCTGAATGCTGTATACACCGGGTCCAAAACACTGTAACAAGTCAAGAATCAAAACGAGAATATCGGTCAGAGACCGAAGACTTATCGATCGAAAGTTAGGGGATCCCCCCAAAACAGCGCTCTTACTCCATAGTGACACCTTGTGTCCCATCAAAAATTAATTAATAACTCGCTAATTGTATGACATATTCGCCCAAAATCAATAGACTTCTGGTCCGAGATATGATGAATGCACATGCAAAATCTGGAGCAGATTCAATCTCGCTTTCGTGAGATATCGCGTGCATCTAACAGACAGACAGACAAATACCTATCAACATACTTACCGATTAAAATCGATATGTAACAACTAAACTTGAAAGTCTTGCATAACCTATAAACAATTGGAGCAAAGTCAACTTGATTATTATTGTTGGAAATTGCTTGTTAAACGGACCATGCAGCTACTTTCTGTTTTTTCTCTCTCATATTCATTATGACCTAATTTTCAACTGGTATTTATCTAGGATTCGATTGGAGGAAATGCAAAAACGCTTATGTTTGTCAACATCTCACCTGCTGATTATAACGCTGATGAAACTGCAATTTCACTCACGTAAGTTACAACCCAAAATTTTGATAATCTTGTAGTGTGTGTACCAGGTTAGGGTTGGGCCATAATTTTATTCCAATTTTCCTTATTTTATTTCTATTAGGAGTTCAGAGACTGTCTGTGTAAGACAAGTGAATATACCCCCTGCCCATAGGTTTCAGTCCCTTTACACAACTTGATGAGGGAAATGGGCGATCAAAATTAGTTACCTCCATATTTGGTACACACACTTCTGAAGCGCCAAAATTTTAACTGCCTGACTCTTAGTATCTATAAACATGATTTCTAATCCTGGGTTAGGGTGGCTTGTTTAGGGCTTTGTTCTGAGAAACGATGTAGAAATGCCCAATGTTGGTGTGGAAACCCCGAGCTGACAAAGTTCAGCACATGATTCTAACTCACTCGATCTTGCAAAAACAAAAACAAGCGAGGCTTGAGTATACAGCCCTGATTTTCAATCAAATATCACGCATTTATTCATTTGAATAAAAGTTGCTAAATCATTGGAACATATATTTTTTAATATTAGGCTTTTGCTCTAAACCAGGCCCTTTACAAGCTATGAGTGCCTGCTGATATCTAGCGTTATGTAAAGATATACTGATTATTTTTTAAATTGGGGATTTTTCTGATTCAGCATTGCCTACACCCCGGGTGAGGTGGTGTGCATGAGATTTGAACCCCTGTAAACTGCTTCTCTAACCTTTGTGAAATCTAACGCTTTAACTGCTAGGCCATCCCCAAACTTTTTGTTCGTGCTTCGCCAAATTATGAAGGAAAAAAATCACGCCGCGCTTACACTAAAAAAAATTGCTGCCTTTAAATAAAACCCAATGTTGTGATCGTGTGAAACCCAATTTTTATGCCTTTCAAGGTTTGAAAACAATTAAAGGCAATGTCAACTCCTTTGGGAACTGCTGCGCTAAGTCAAATTGTATATATGTATTGGTGACTTGTGAAAGTTTCATAATTTCATCCAGGTATGCTTCCCGTGTGAAACTAATCACAAACGATGCATCTAAGAATGCAGAAAGCCGAGAAGTCGCAAGATTGAAGACAATCATCTCAAAAATGAAATCTGGAGATTCAGTAGAGGAAGATGAGTGATTTCATCATCAGATCGAGCTTGATTGGGTATTGAAATAAGCAAATCATGTACGTTTCAAGTATGGTTGTCGTGAAGCTTAAAATTTTTTTGTATATTATTTAATCAGTGGTTTTCGAATATAATAATGAAAACAAAAATTTTACAGAGTTTGACACAATATAGTGCAGTAATTTATACCATATTTTGCATTGACATCAGTAATGAAATTTTGTTTTTACAATACTAAAATAACATTTCCAAATTATTCATATAATGTTACACTCAATAAATGTTTAAAAATGACCAACTAAAATTACCTATATTCACGATAAGCCATGGCCCCTTCACTCCAGTGCTCCTTTGTTATTGTTGCTCAATTTTTTCTCCCTAATTATCGCTTATTAAAGTGCAACGGTTTTCATATTTTTGTTCATAATAATTAAATTTGGAAATAATTTCATATATCTTCAAAAAAAGGCTTATTTTCCATTTTTTATCACTGTTCCCTCAAGTTTCCTAATTTCCACTGTAGAAGTTCCACTGTAATAATGCAATATCAAGTTGTGATTTAATGTGTATTGTAGAAAATGTTCTTAAGTACTTTTGTATTTGCATAACCGGTTATTTCTGGTTTCATCCAGCAGTATATTTTTTAATTTGAGTTGTTGTTGACCGTCGTTCACTGTATGTGTTGATTTGGGCAGACTCGTAACTATGCTTCTTCCAAACTTCTTTCAAAAACTTAAATTTTCCATACCTTTATAAATGTATAAGAAAATTATATAGAGGCTTCAAACGTTGACTAATATGGTCTTCTTTCTACCATTTGTACAAGAAATTACCATGAAAAAGTCTGGTAAAGAAAATTAGAGTCACCCCAGCATTGGCCATTCTAAACTTTCATTTAAATTCATATATTATTTTCTATTATTTTAAAAGTAGTGAGATTTTTTATTTTTAGTCCACTGTATATTTCGATGTAGTGCAATTATACAAATATCATTACTTGTCTTGAAATTCGCAACGGCTCTTTGGCTTTCTCTTTTCCAAAAATGGGGAAAAAATCATATTTCATATATCGCATTCAACTCCGTATATAGGTAAATAAGCGTAACTTTAAAATAAAGGAGAATATGTTGTTGGGTAATTATTGTTCATAAAAATTTCATTTGGTATTTCTTAATCATGGTTTAATTCATTTATTAGTTTATTCATCGATTTCATTTAAATTTAACACCGTAGCGTTTATGGCTTAAAAAGATCCCAACACCCGACTAACACTAGTCTGCGATTTAATATCTTATTACCAGTTCCCAATAAAAATTTTATTTTATGGCAAAGTTCCTTCACTCCACAATATTAAAAATTGTTCTAAGTGTATATATACACTCCTGCTTTAGACAGTTACAAGGGTGCTCCCGAAGTATGCGAACCAAGATGGCGGACATCGGAACGTAACATGGGTAACAGGTTAGGGTTAGGCGATAATTTTTTTCCAATCTTAGTCCTACTATCAGTTCGAAGACTAGCCAAGAGCCTCCCGTAGTATTTATACCTAAAACTATGGCCTAACCCTAACCTAGTACACATATTACATTCCGATGTCCGCCATCTTGGTTCGCATACTTCGGGAGCCTCGTTACAAGACATCAGATACATTTGTATAAAGATTTTATGAATGTACTGCAGCACTGATACATTTTTTGGCGACCCAGAAGTGTGTGTACCAGGTAACTAATTTTGTTCGCCTATCTCATGTTACTCCTCATCAAGTTGTATAAAGGGACTGAAACCTGTGGACAGCGGGTATATTCATTTGGCTAACACAGACAGTACTCTAACTCGTAATAGAATTAATAAAACTATACCCTAACCTGTTACACACACTACAGGAGTACCCATTTTTTCCATTACATTTTTACTTGTTTTTAGCTATTGGCTCGCACTGTCAAAATTCCTTTTATTTCACATCTCTCACCAAAGTGCACTTATTTTTTTTTAAAAACATGAAGCTAATTTTTCAGAATAATTTATGAAGTATTATTGTTATTTGTTTAAAAACATTTTTATGGCAAATCAAAAATTAGTGACATATCTCATCAATCAAAACGAAATTAACAAAGTGATGTCATAGTATCAAATTTATGCGTCAAATAGGGCGTGATCCAATGGCGGCTTTGTGCCCTGAATAAGTGGGCGGGGTCTGATCATATGCACCTACAAAGAGGAGAACGACGTCGTTTTTATATCTCGGTGTTGCGTGTTTACAACAGCAGATGTAAATGGGGTAAAAGCCTGATGAATAAAAATTGCCATAGAATAAAAGTCTGTTACAAATGTATTCCATAAGTAAGTGTGTAACATGGTGACCGTACATTTGAACCCATGCGTATATCCACGGGTTCAATCTATATGCGGGTGCTCAAACCCATGGGTTAGGGTTAGTATGGGTTTAACTATCAGTGAAACAAAAAAAATTCCATAGGTGCAATTGTCATGGGTTCAAATGTAATGGAACCGTGTAACATATATCATAGCATTACTGTGGCTTTGCCATATGGACGCGTTTCGTGTGAGATTTTTGTCAATTCGAACGTTTCCATTTTAGTCTTTCTGGTCTCAAGGCAGCCTCGGTCCTCTGTTGATTTTATTTACAATGTAACCATCGAGAATGCTGCTGCGTAATATAATCTGTCTATCATATATGGTTATCATGGTTTCTCTCAATTACACTCGGGTACATAGTTGATTTTGTTTCAGCAAAAGGGCTCTTTTAAAGTGATCCGAAAGGGGGAGCTAGAGTACCAGAGGTCAGAATTGTGTTGCCAAAATTCAACATTGATCGAAGTAACATTTTTGCCTGAATGATACGCTGGTATTTGTTTATACGCTGTCGTATTCTCATGCATATCCTTGTTACCGGTAACGCCATTATTATCGTGGCTCTAAAAATTCATGCTGAGTGGTTGGTAAGCCCAATGAGCATATATACAATGAGTGGAAACTTGCAAAGATTTGCTCATTTTGGTATTGTTCCCTGCATTTTTTACGTCGTCCGGCTAAATGGTTCGTTGCATATTAAGAAAACGCATTGCTCGCTGCCAAAATCCCTTGCTTCAGCCGAGTCGGGTGCGAAATTGACCGTATTGAGGTCTTTAATTCTTCAATACATATTTGGTTTTGGGTTTCGAAGTATGGTACGCTGAAAGCATACAACTATGAGCATATGCTTATTGGGAATGCATATCTATTAGATAGTAAACGTGGAAAAATTTGTATTCAATGGAAGAAGCATACTGAAAATAGGGAATTTGTGCAAACCAAAAAATTTGGGGGGTTATGATATTATTAACATACCCATTTTTACAATGTGCATGTACATAATTAGTGTCTTGGATTATTATAAAGCTAGAGAATGTGATTATAATGAGGATTACAATCATATTTGTATGTCCTTTGTTGAATACAATATTGGACAACAACTTAGTACATTTTGGGGGATTAGAACTAAAAATACATGTTTACATAGATTTTGTCCTCAAAGTGAGTATAGATTAATATTAGAATTTTTAAGAAAGCATAACATAAGTAGTACAGATATAAAAGAAGATATGCATAAAACTATTTATAAAAAAATTGTTATTTCTATGACTGGGGACAGATTAATTTTTCTACGCAATTGTAATTTAAATATTGCATGTGAGAATATTCATAATAATATTCTGGCAAACTATATGAAAACCTTTAATTTCAAGTTAATGTGGGATATTTTACCAGTAAAAACAAAACCTGGAATAAGAAATATAGCAGGAAATGATATGTGTGTGTTATGTGGAAAAGAACCAGAATTTGTTAGCCATCTTTTTATGAATTGTGAATATTTTGATTATGTTTTTGATTTCATGGAAAATACTGTTAGGAATTTAAATAATGCCAGACTTTTGAAAAATTATGAAACTTGTGTTTTATTGGATTTAAGCTATTTGTTACATTCCAACATTACAAGATGTTTATTTAATTTCAATCACTAGATATAAAATATGGATACAAAGAAATTCTGTTATATTCGAAAGTAATACCCCTAATCAGCACCTAGTTATCAAACAAATAAAAACTGCAATCACTTACAGACTCAACATTGAAAAAAATAGAAAATCACCAAATTTTGTCAGAGAATTTGAAATACTAAGGAATTGTATTTGAACTATAAATCTAGTGTGTATAAATTTAGTATGTATTAAAATGAACATGTCTAATATATTTAATTTTTTACGTTTATTGTACATAATCTAACTCAATATACTAAAAATTGATGAATTGTATGCCGATGCGATCAACACCTCAAACACTAATGGAATGGACATATGAAAAATGAATATTGGATTATTTATCCTACAGTACAGAATATGAACCAGTCGCCCAGTGGGGTGCGGTTATTTATGTATTTATTAGGATAATGAGGATAAGGATTTACATATTTATCGCGGGGGAAAGGAAAGCCGATAAGACGACTTATCCATATGGCGAACCACGGCCTCTCGTCCGGTTACCATTCCAAGTCGGGCATGGGATTAGTTATATTGTTTGTTTTCGGAAGCATGGACTTGTTAGTGGAGGAAGCCGTAACCGACCAGCGGTTACGTGAATCACCCAACGGCGGCGAGGAGTCCAGCAATCCTCTTGCACATAACCATCCCTGCATGGGATTCGAACCTGCGGACCCATGCAGAGTAATTAGAGGTGCGGTGGCGAGCGTATTCCTAACGCTTAGCCCGTTGAGCCACACCGCCGCGCATGGGATTTACATATTTATCCAAGGGTAGAGGAAAGCCGAGAAGAATGCCTAAATATATGGCAAACCACGGCCTCTCTCAATCATAGCTCTGTCCTCCATATGAATCACATGGCTCTGCGAGCTATTCGTTTACTTATTAAAAATACTGATTTTTACTATTTCTCTGGGATATCTTGCCATTGAAAACAAAAGCCAGAAATTGGAAGAATAGCAGAGAATGAAATGTGTGTATTATGTAATGAAGAACCTGAGTTTGTTTCACATATTTTCATGTATTGTAAATTTACAAAAAATATTTATGAGGATTTTGTTTTAGATATATTAAAACTGATTAGAATACATTTTGTTATCAATATGATTCTTGCACATTATTTAATTTCAACGATCCTTTATATAGTCATATAGATACTGTTGATTTGGATGCAATTATACTTTTGTAATCAATAGTGAGATATAAAATTTTGACCATGAGAAATTCTATTATATTCGAAAATAAAACACCCCATTTTGCCTTTCTCAAAAAGCAGATAAAAATGGCCATAATATGTAGAAAAATATATAGAATTATAGAATAAACAACCCATTTGAGAGGGAATTGAAAAATTTATGTAAAGCGTTATTTCAAAAAGAAAGTTATATGTTTATGATATGTATTTTATATTACTAATTTCATTTTTATTGTTTTATATCAATGCATTTATTAAAATAACCTAATTATGGTATGGATTACTACTGGAATTGAACAAAATAAATACTGAATCATGGATGCAACATGGAATATGAACTTATTTATATTAACCGTAATTAAAATCACTCATTGAGTGAACGAATGAGCATACTGTAATGCTTATTGGGAATACATACCATTTATTAGGCAGAAAACTTAACTACAGAACAGAATATGAACCAGCCAAGTGGTGACCTGGGATATTGTATTCATTGATAAAGATAGTTTATTTTGAAAAGTCCACAATCTGACAATACAAACAAATAAAAAATGGAGAGTTCTGGAGAGCGAGCAAAACCTTTAAAAAGTTTAAAACACGATGAGTATCATGTGCCCGCCGTGTTATAGCAAGTAGTAATGTGTAATGAATTTAATTCACTGTGGTAAATGAATTGCTATCTTTTTATTTGTTATGAGCACACTTGCTGGAACTCCATAATCTATTATTTTATTTGTTAGTAACACTTTTTATAAAAATATCAAATTGTTTATCATACTTGCATCCATATTTTGCCCTAAATTCTATGACACTTTCTCTGTATCCAAATATCTATGTACATGACCACATTATTTATTTTTTAGTAATACTTCGTTTAAAAGTATCTTAATGTTTATTATACTTGCTATTCTGGTATTTAATCAATTTTTTGCCTTGAATTTTATTCTATGATACTTGCTCTGTATCCAAATATCTATATGTATATGAGCACTTTATTTATTTTTTAGTACCGGTAATACTTATTTAAAAATACCCTATTGTTTATCATTGCTATTTCGGTATATTATCAATATTTCGCCTTAAAATTCATTCTATGATACGTGCTCTGTAGCCGAATATAGATATGTACATGAGCACTTTATTTCATATATATATATATATCTGCTGGAGAAGGGTCAAATCCTGATCATGGTATAATGTGTGTCACTATCCTCCAAATCACTTGCCACTCATAATCAAGTATTATAATTTGATGGGTTCAAATTATAGTGTATAAAGAAATATACTCATGATTTCATTACTATTATCAAATGTTTATAATTAAAGTGCTATAATAATAGAATTTTCCTCATCTTTGCTCATAAAAAACCCATGTCCTATCACATTAATTTTTAGTAGATAAATTTTCCAAATAATAGGTATCCTTGCTAACCCATTTTTATGCAGTTGATATGCAATACATGTCAACTTATCAGCTGAATAAATGATGATCTTAGGACAAAACATGATTATTTAGTACTTTCCAAATCAAAAATTCTTGTGAATAATGTATATAGTGAATACGGTATATGAGAGCTATTGAAGAATTTAACACC